CGGTTTTTAGGGTTTTCGGTCCCTGAGTTTAAGACCGAAAACTCATGATTTTTGGTGCATAAGGTGATTTTCAAGGGCCTTCAACAATCAATGAAGTGTTCTAGACTCAATACTAAGCATTAGGAAAGGCTTAAAGTCATTTTGCACCCTTTATAAGGGTTTTCGGTCTAAGGAGATGCACTAGACCGAAAACACCTTTGTTCTTGGATAAATGGATGTTTTCAAGGCCCTAAATCAAGTATCCTTACTAGATAACAAGTATAGGACATAGATACTTACAATATGGAAGCAAAGAAGGGTGTTTTCGGCCCAAAACACTAGTGTGTGTTCTTGGTGAAATGAAGAACACTTGAAGATCTAAGAAAATGGAATGATTTCATGGATGAAATCATGTAAGATCACTAGATAATGGAAGAGATCAACTAAACAAGGAAGGAAACACTTACAATCTTGAAGATCTTGACAAAAATTCGGATGATACTTGAGAGAAAATTGTTCTTGACTTGGAAATGGGAAAAAAAAGGCTAAGAATGACTAAGTGTCATTTATATACTCTTTAGGGTTTTCGGCCCTAAAACTATTTTGGGCCGAAAACTCCAAACTCTTGGAGTTTTGTGACTTAAATGTTGCACAATTAATCCCCAAAGTATACTTCCTCTAATTTGTTCTCTCGAGAAAATAAATATTAAAAATACCCAACTGGACTTTAAACCGAGTTAAAAAATTAGCAGAAAAGAATTTGACTTTTAATTGAAGTGCTAGACGGTAGAGTTTGTTCAAAAGGAAATTTCAGGTTGTCATAGATATGGATTTAGCACATGTTGTATAAACCCTGGTGACGATGTGACTTCGTGTCTAATCCTTAGGAATAAATGAACGAGGAATAGTTGATTCTTAGGGTAGATCCTTAAGGTTAAAGAAGATAATGGGGATGAGTAATTGGGTTGATTGTTTGATGATTGAATATAATAATTATATTATTGTGGGTTGAAAACCCTATATGCTCACCTGGCTCCCAAGCCTGACCCACTCAGTTTATTTGTATCACTGGTATCGATACGAAGCTGCTTTACACTGAGAGATTAAAGGAGATGTAAATTACTAGTGTAAATGAATGTATGTTCTGTTTATGCTTTTGGTCTGTATCGATGTGGACATCCCGAGTTTTGTAATAAAACGAAAATACATTTCTTTAAGAAATGTTTTGATAAATATTTATTATATTTTGTTTTGGGGACAAATTCCGCAACACCTTTTCAAAGATTACTATGATTTTATTTTAAAAAACATAAATGAAATCGGTCTTTTCTGGCCGTAAAATTTGGGGATGTCACATCCTTTTCAAAATAGACCCTTAATTTACTAAACATCCCTCGATCTTCCAAAATCGTTACAAATTAATCCAGAAGTTACATTTTTAACCCCTAACTTCTAAAATTGTAATAATTAACTCCTCTAGACCCACACCTTGCTATATAATTATTGTTTTTAGGGTTACTATACACTCATCAATTTATTTATATATTTATTTAATAAATGGGGTGTTACAATTATAGAATCGGTCCTGGCACGACCGGTTCCATCGGGTTCCGGTTCCGGTTTCGGCCGGTTCCTCGGTCCATATGCTCATCCCTAGTCAATATCATCGTCTTCCCCATATACAATTTTTTGTTGACCAGGAAGATGAAAAGGTAGTCTAACCACAGAAGGATACCTGTAATGAACATCATATTTAAAATTTTCTCATGATGCTTCACATTCAAATAAATTTCTACAGTCGTAATACTCATTTATTTCATCGACCACATCATTATTATTACAGTCACTATTGCTTCGTACAATGGCAACTGTAGCTCTATCAGGTCCGTTGTTTATGTATTTAAATAAATACTTTATAGAAGAACCCTGATTGCATCATTCAACATTAATATGTATCCGATATCTTTTCAATAGATATTTTTTGTAGGGGACAAGATTTCTATTATCCAACTTCACACCCGATTTTTCAACAAAATGACCATCGTTTCTTCTCCTATATAATGGAAAACCATTCTGATCAACAGACGTATGATTACAGAATTGCTTTGGAAAGTTTTTCGAGTACTTTTTGTCCACCATGCATGGAAATTTGATATTTTCAGCTCCACATTGTGACATCCCCGTTTTCAGCTCCACATGGAAATTTGATATTTTTATGCTTTGTTTTGAAAATTAGAGTATTCTTTTAAAAAAATGTTGCGGAATTTGTTCCCATAAAAAGATGATAAATACGTTATCAACGCATTTCCGAAGAAATGTATTTTATTCATTTTAAAACTTTGGGATGTCATCGTCAATATAGAAACATAAGCATAAACAGAACTTACATTCATTAACACTAGTGATTTACATCTCCTTAATCTCTCAGCGTAATGTAACTTAATATCGATACCTGTGATACAATAAACTTGAGTGGGTCAGGTTGGGAAACCTGGTGAGTACGTAGGGTTTTCAACACACAATAATATAATTATTATGTTTAATCATCAAACAATTAACACAATTACCCATTCCCATTATCTTTATTATTCTTAAGGGTCTACCCTAAGTATCATCTATCCTGCATTCATTCCTTCCGAAGTCTGTTTCTTCCAGGGTTTATATGACAGGCACTAAGTCCATAGCTGTCAATGTCCATTCATAAAGCACTAAATCCATAGCTGCTAAAGTTCATTTATCGGACACTAAGTCCATAGCTACCAACATTTATCTAATAGGTACTAAGTCCATAGCTACCGACGTTATTTATTAAGCACTAAGTCCATAGCTACCGACGTTATTTATTAAGCACTAAGTCCATAGCTGTCAATGCTCGTCCGTAAAGCACTAAATCCATAGCTGCTCATGTTTACTTATATCATCTTTCATTTCTCATCATTCATCTACCCATGTTTCACCCAACACATTTGTAGATATAACATACTTATACAACTTAAATCATTAAAACATGTATAAAATTGTTCATCCAGCATAGATATCAAGAACACATATAATTTGCACACATAGCACGTATTAAATACTTCATATCTATGTGTAAGATGAAAGTAACTATGCACTCACTTGTTAAAGTGATGATTCCAAACTCGGGCAGCGCTTCGCTTCTAACGACTCTATTTTCCTTCGACGAAACCTAACATTATTATCGCTAGGTTTTAGTCTAATCTTTATTGCGAATAATTATTAGTCTAGATTCATCATTAACTCAAAGTCTACTTTCATGATCTATCAAGTAAGGAACAACCAAGTAGGATCATATCGGAGGTAGGGTCCGTTTGGTATACGAATTATACTGTTTGGAAATCCCACTTTAAACACCTCAATAAATCACAGCCTAGACATCATCCCCGTAAGTAGATCAATGAGTATAATGACTTGGAATCACTGATAAATCTTGTTTATAGATTCATAATAACGATAATGAACTTAAACATAAGTTATACTTAAAGTATGGTAAGCATAACTTACTTACAAGGGTGTTTAGCAAAGAACCGGGCTCTGCGCGGGCAGAACTTTTGAGCCGAAAGCTCTTCTTCTTGGGGCCTTGTGGCGCTCCGGGAATCGCTACTAACTCCTAAGAAAGGCTAGAGAAAATCCTTGAGGCTTTGGGGGTATTTGGGAGAGAAGTTGAGAAAAGGTGTGAAGAAAAATAAGGAAAAACGCTTGTATTTATAGGCTGCCAGCGCCGAGTATGCTGAGCGTAATGGATTTTTAACGTTTACGCTAAGCGTACTCAAAATTACGTTGGGCATAATGTGCCACGTGACGCGATCTCACGCAAAGCCATGGGGAAGAAGGTGCGGCTCAGATTACGCCACGTGTCACTCGCTGGTTACTCTAAAAACTAATTATCTTCTAAAATCCGTAACTTTTGCATACGAGCTCCATCTTTAACGTTCTTTATATCCACACGTAGGTGGGATCATACTCTACAACTTTCGTTTAGACTTCGTTGGCTATTTTTGAATTTATTTTTAAAGTTATATTTTTAACAGGTCGGGACATGAAAAGTCCGTTAAAAATTAGTAACTTCTTCATCTGACGTCCGTTTTCGTCTGTATTTTTACCGTTGAGCTACTATTAACGAGACCTTCGATTTTAGTTTAGGTAATGTCGGCTAAAAATCGGCCGATCTAATATTCGAATTCCGGGCTGCATACTGTTATGCGAAATCTTAGAAAAATCATAACTTCCTCATACGAAGTCAGATTTTGACGTTCTTTTTATGCAATCTCTCGGTTTAACATATACTACAACTTTCATTTATATATATAAGGCTAAAAAGTAGTTTATCAAAAATTCACTTTTTACGATTCCCGGTGCCGTGCCGGTTTTGCCGTAAAACTTCGACAGGTCATAACTTCTTCGTTATAACTCGGATTTCGGCGTTCTTTATATGTACGAAACCTTTGTGAGATATACTATAACTTGGTTAAGACTATTTATTCTAAATAATCTTCTATCAAAAAGTCATTTTTGACGCTCATTGTCTCTAAATTGACTAGCCCGAATCTGCGGGCGTTACACACATGGACCATGAATCATGAACTCATTCACAAGTGAATACAATTATGGATCTTCATCTATGTTTGGTATCTCGGTGGAAATTATCGGATCGATAAATTCAACAGTGGGTAGCTTGTAGTTATAATGCATAAATAGACATATATGACTATGGGGCAAACCTCTTTTTTGAAATTCAGTTGTATAAACAACTGCCTAATATTTTCCACAAAAATCAAATATGATTATACAGTAAGAAAAAATATATAATAAAAAGCATAAACTTTTATCAATTATGAAGAAACATAATTTCAAATACCTTCTTGAACTATGCCGAAAATGTGATTCTCCCTTAGGTCTTTAATCAATGCATCAAGCTTGATCTTGAACAACCTACATAGTATATCAGGTCTGTCTTCTGGTTGAAGTGAAGTATCTTTAAGAAACCTTTTAACCTCAGGCTATTTGGGATTACACGTAAAGGTTATGAAGAAATCAGGATATCCAAACCATTTACATGGCGGCATGGCATCCAAATAGTTTTGCAGCATATAGCGCGCACCACCAGTAAAAGATGAAGGTAATATCACACGTTGGACGACGTTGGAGATATTTGTAGTTCCTTGAGCTTTTTTGTTACATAAATTCTCATAAGACTCACATCTAAGAACATATTGTTGCCTACGTATGTAATACAATCTCTCACTTTCAATCATAGTATACGCATCTACCAAAAATAGTTGAAACAACCTTTTTGAATTAAGAATCAATGAGAACGAATGATCCATGTCTTGAATTCTAAAAGCGAAAAATTCTCTCATTGTACATTTCGCGCGCTTGCTGTTGGTTGTAGATGTAACACCTCTATGAAGAATATCAACGATGTAACCTTCATCCCCATATGGAAATAATAGCGGATATTGGAGAGGAAGGTAAGAAGGATGCAATTCACTGATACGTTGTAGAAATCCCGAGTTTGTTTGAAAAACGATATCTCTATTTTCAACTGAATCACAAATGTCACCTACAATTAAAGCGGAAACCTCAGAAGCAGTTGGTAGGTTATATGTCCTTCCATCTCGATCCCTTCTCCCGGTAATTCTTAACTTCATATCAACTTGAGGTTTTTTTTAAAGTATCTCTTACCATTCTATAAGAGCTAACTAAGACATTATTTGAATCTAACATCACCTTCAAATCTTTAATAATGTCATTATCGATTGATGAAGATTGATGCTTTTCCCCACTAAAAATTTTGAATATATACATAATCTTAGTAAAAAAAATTAAACTTAAGTATGAATAAGAAGTTTGAAAATATACCCAAAGCATCTTTGTCTATTTGAATTTTCGTTCTCGGTATCATAAATGTATAACTGAGAGAATTTTGGTTGCGATCCATTTGGTTGTAAAAGGCTTCCAATATTATGATAATTTTGACCACCAAGTCTGAAAATGTATGAAGCATTTCCTCTATCGATTGAAGAATCAATTTTACCACCCATCGACGTAAACGAAAACATTGAATTGTAACGTCAAATGTTTTTCATGAAGTTTTTGCTTTTAGAATCCGTTGCTCGAAACATTCTTTCATAAGTTTGTGGTGCGTTCTTTAAATCTGGTAGTTGAACCTTGCCATAACCACAACATAATGAATAACATGTGTTCTCTATTTGTGTTCCTCTAATGGATTCATTTGTCCATAATTTTGCATGACATGTTTGACATACAACAATTTGATCACCATGATCCAAATATTTTGTAATAAAATAAAGCGGTATGAGTAAAATATTTAATTTTAAAAGTATATACAATACGGTATTTGAGTTGTAAGAAAAAAAGAAAGTGGATATATATATATATATATATATATATATATATATATATATATGGATTACCTTTGGAAATACCAACTATTAGGTTTTGAGTAATGACTTCATGTATATTTTCTACATGTGTTGTCAAGTCAATCAATGGAGTAGGAGATAAATGTTCCAACTTCCTTTTTAATTTATGACATCCTGGATTTAACTTGATTGATGATGAAGAAGCAGTTATTGTAGATACATTTCTCGATGTCATACCATTACAAAGTCCAGAGTAATGTATTTTATTTTGTAATGTTGAAGTAGTGTAGTTATTGAAACTAATATTAGCTGGAAAAACAATAGTGAGGATATATAAATTTATTAGAAAGTGGTTAAAAGTAAATGTTGAAAACAAATATTATTGTCATTTGAAATGTTAGATAACGGATAACATTTATATATGAATGAGAAGATTGTAGGGGTTTATTTTGGTTTCCACGTGATTTATAGGAATGAACATTTTCATTTTGATGAACAACGTTTTTTGATTGATCTGTAAAAAACAACTTGTTATAAAAATTGAAGACATCTATTATAAAATAAAATTAGAATGTAAAATACATCTAGGCAAATAAGTTAGTTAGGGGTAATATGGGAAATCATCAAATTAAAGACTATCTTAATAGTGGGAGGGACATTTTAGACATTTTATAGTATTTAAAAAGAAAATTTCATACTTACAAAAAAAATTAGAAAATTTAAAAAAAATCAAACACGCAAAAAGAAACAACAATGAATGGGAAGGCGTTATTGAAAATAACAATGTTTTAGGTAAAAAAGATCCAGAATTAAAGGCATGTTTCTTTTTTTCTTCACTGGGTCTAGGTACACACTTCATTTTTTTTCATTACATACAAAACCAAAGGCTTGTTTCCATTATTTTCATCCATAAAAACATAGTGACTATTTTTATCAGACTCTTATACATAAAGAAATACCAATGTACTTTCAATTTGTTGTTTTTGATGCTATAATTATACAAACTTGCTATTTCACAATAAAAAACAATAACTGGTAAAAAAGAAAAAACCGATGAAAATATCATTTACAGTAAAAAACGATAACATGTACAAAAATAAGGAAAATGATAAGGCTAAAATCCTTATAGATCGAATAGATTCTAAACAAGTATGATATGAACACGAAGTAAAGTAAGAACACAGAATGAATCAATCAATGTGTCGAATGATTAAAAGTCACGCCTCAGAAGAACTCTATGAAGAATTGCTACTGTAGAGGCGTGCTAGGGTTTACAATAATATCTCTATCAAAACGTTTTCAATCTACTTTGCATGCATGCACTATTAATACTTAAACCGTAATAAATGATACGACTTGGACAGGCCCAATACTGAATACAATATAAATAAGCCCAATGACACAATCTATTATACCCATCAATCTCCCCCTTTGTGTCAGTTGAGGCCCGAACCCTTCAGCCTTGGATTCTCTTCTGCATATCATACACCTTCGGAATCATGGCATAAATTGCTTGGCGTACCTCAATGTACCATAGAATCATATCTGAGAAGCACTTGATATCATCTTTCTTGTTGCCTTTGAACTTGCTTACTTGGTCCAAAATAAACTCAAGGAAGTTTGTGGTATAGAGATGCCTATCAGTAAGATAGAAGCATCCTTTGCGATAATCTGCTCCAGTTCGTTCCCTAACAGAGTAAACCACAAACCAATCTCCACTGTAAAGTTTCCCTGGCTTCAACTTTTCAAAATCCTTGGGAGTTTCATTAAGAACAGCCGAAGGCTTCTTTCGCAGGACAACAGCAACTTCAACATCCATCTCTCCAATCTCCTGAATATATGACTTTATCATGACCTTGAGATGAGGCATGACAGGTTCATATTTTTCTTTGTCCTTCAACAATATGTTGTAAAGAGTGAACCAGTCATATGGGTTAAGGCATGGAAGATCTGCAAGAGTAAACTCATAACATTGGCTGGCTGAACCTCTTGCCACTTTGAACTTAGCATTTGGAAAGCTATCAGTCTCGATCGGCCCTGTAACCTTCACACCGATAAGTTTGCTTAATGACCAGGTTTCGTATTGTGGCTTCTGCTTCAGATAAAATGAAAATAGCATATGATCAACTCCATTGTCTGTGAATGGAGCGTTGGCCACTTTAACAAAAGAACGAAATCTGAAAGCTTTTGGAGTAATTGGCAGATCCAGTTGTGAGTGTCGTGTGTTCTGAAGATCAAACGAAACTACTGGCTCTAACCAATACTGGCTTTGAAGATCAACAATGTCGCGTTGGATTCGCTTTAGGGTCCATTGGGGGAACAAGAGCTTTTTGATCTGAAGAGTATCTTGTGCTTTTTTCTCATCTCTTTCTTTCTCTTCAGCTTCACGGATGATTCGCTGATGCTCATCCAGTTCAGTTTCACAAACTTTTTGTTTTTTAGTTCTTCTTCAGTAGCCTCTTCTTCGTCTTCATTATCAAGAATTGGATCGTCACGGAACAACTTTTCCTTGACTTTTGCTTCGTTCTTGATAATAGGCTTGACAGGAGCTTCATATCCTTCTTTTCTTGATCCACCAGCCACACTTTCTCCCCCTTGTTTCAGATGAAAGGATTGATCAGAAACACCTTCAAGGCGTTGAACCATGGCGAAGACGGGCTTTAACTTTTCTGTCAGATGCTTACGCATGGTGATGGTGATCATGGAGTCTCTGGTCTCAATGATATCCGAGAGCATGCCAGTAACATCAGTTATACAACTGCGCATGACTGCCCTCTCAGATAACAGATCATGGACCTGCTTCTCCGAAGCGTCAAGGTTGGTACTTAACACCTTGGCTTCTTCTGACTTGAGAGCGAGAGAGTCCTTCAGGGTACTCTCCTTCACCAGTTTGTCTTTAAGCTGAGAAAACTGAGACGAGATAGTGGCTTGAAAGGATTCATGGTCAGTTTTAAGACCAGTACGAATCTCTTGGAGTTTCGTCTTCTCAGTTTTGAAGAGAGAACCCAGACTCTTCAATGCTTCGTTTGCTGATGTGGTGTTGGAATTGAAATTGGTTTGGAAGTTCTCCATGAAGGAATTAGTTTCTTCAATTAGTTTATTGACTTTTTCGGTCGTAGACTTGCAAATCTTAGCAGAATCGGCGACAGCTTTATTCGATGATTCAACAGTAGCAGAGTGTTGCTTCATGATTCGCTCAGAGAGAGACTCAACAACTTCTTTGGCGTATGCATCAGTGGATGAAGCTTTGTTAGATAGAATCACTTGGTCAATCTTTTCATGGAGGGACTGGAGTTGCTCTTTCGTTACTTGCACCTCATCTTCACTCTCAGTCCGGATTTGGAAGGGATTGTAAGTGAAACCACCAAGATCTTCGTCTTCGTCGTCACAAAAGACCATTTCTGGGTCATTATGGTTAATAGGGGAAATGGGAGGTGAGACATGAGTGGAGAAACCTGAAGTTTGAGCCCCCGTATCAGATACGTTTACCGAAATAGAAGATGGGATTGAGGTAGTGACAAAACCTGAAGTCTTTTCCCCCGCATCAGATGCGTTGACATTGACGAGGGGTTCGCCTGTGGTGGTTGTTGTAGTGGTTTCAGTGTAGATGGGTGGTGGCTGGGTAGTAGAGGTGGTTGTTGTAGAAATGACAGGTGGTGATTGAGATGAAATAGGTGTTGGTTGAGATGAAATTGGTGTTAGTTGAGATGAAATTGGTGGTGGTCAAGGAGCAATAGTGATAGGAATAGTAGAGCGAGTAGGAGAAGGAGGGGGAGTTGGAGCAGAATCGTTTAAAGGTACCTCTTGATGTGGGGAAGGTGGAGGCGAATCACCACGAAGCGAACCATCAGATTGAGAACTTTCGCTTTCGCTTGAGTCTCTTTTAGCTGGATCAGAAGGAACGTACTCATTATCGCTTGTTGAAGATGAGCTGGGCTGCAGAGTCATCTTTCTAAGCTTTCGCTTCTTTGGAGCCGGAGGAGCTGCACCTTGAGTCTTTCGCTTCTTAGGAGTTGGAGCTTGAGAAGATTGACCTTCTTGAACCCCTTTCTTCTTGGTTCCCTTCTTGTCTCCCATTTTTAGGTTTATCAGCTTCATCTATGGAGCGTTGCATCTCAGAAGTAAGCTCCCTAGGACCCGAAACAGGATGCTTCTTGTACTCAGTGATAATTTTGCTAGCCCTAGAAACACATCTGTACATAGTCTCCGGAATACACCCCACAAATGAAAACTTCGAATTATCAGCGAGAATAATCTTCGTAGGGTGAAAGGTAGCAATCGACGACATTAATGAGTCTGCCATCACTGTAACATTGAACTTTTCCATTGCCCGCTGCACCACAATCGTCCAGAAACGTGCGCAGGAGATCCCGCTGTATCGAGATGAAGAATTCATACTCTACACCAATCGCGCCCAAAGAACGGACCCATAATCAAGGTTACTCCCATGGTAGAGGCCATAAAGGATTGTCATGAATGATTTGCTAGCACAGTCGGATCCAGTTACTCTCTCAGAGAATGCCTTGAAGAGAGGATTAAATAGACCATTCCATTGGGGTGGAAGGCATGACTTCTTGAACTTGGTGATAGTAGTGAGAAGATCAGTATACCCCATTTGGTAGAACATGTCGAAGATCCGGGCAGTAGTAATAGTCTCCGGATTCACTAATGAGCCGACATAGTTAAGCCCTAAAGAGAGCAAAACCTAGACTTTGAGACTGAGTGTTTCTTATCAAGAACTTCAAAGATGATCTTTTCCTCCTCCTTGACATATGTAGAAGATGAAAAGGCCTTCGACAATAGTGACATTGGAACACTTTCAACCTTGGTTAAGGCAGTAACCGAAGGTGAGTACTTCAAGCACTCGAATATGGGAAGCATGAACGCCTCATATTTGAACGGAGCCAAGTCAAGGATCAAGTTCTGGTTGGGCTTGATGGTGAGGAAAGAGGACTGAGCAGTGTGTTCTTGAATAGATGATGAATCGGCCATTGTTGCAGGTACGTGAAGAAAAAGAAGAACCGTAAGAAAAATCGTCGTTAGGTTTCTTGAGAGTATTGAGAGTGGTAAAGAGAAATATGGGATATGTGAGAGCCTTTTATACGATGTACCAGGAGAGATAAAGATCGTTGACGATTGCGTGTTTTTCTCTGAAAAGACGTCTGAAAAAGCGCGATGTGACAACTGTTACTCCGAAAAAGGTGTCAGGCGGCGTGATGATAAGAACCATTTCAAATTCACGCGCCTTGTGGTTTGAAATCTTATCCGTTCCTCCACGTCATTATATTTTGCCCTAACGCTTCAAATTCCAATTAAATAATCTGAGCACCTTTTGCCTTTTGAAATACAAGACCACCATAGCATTAAGAAGCGAAACTGTGAATCTGAAAAACACCATAAGTACCACGAACTAGAGTTTTGGAAAATCATAAAGATCTTAGTGCAAGACTGTGCCAAAGAAAAAGAAATAAAGCAAAGTATATCTGTGGGATTGAGTGATGTCATATATGACACGAAACTGAGGATGCCGGGCACGAATCTCTTCCTTCAAAGTCAAGAGAGACTGAGAAGTGTCTGTGTGGTTTCCCGTTGAAGTACGATCAAATGTTTGATAAGAAACATTGAAAGGCATCTTTTTAATTTAAGCTTGAGAGGTGGTTTTCACATCAACCAAACTACGAACTTGATATAAGAACGAAAGTTGGATGAAGTACTTTTGTGGCCAGTGTAGCCTATAACATCAAGTAGGTTTGATAATTTTTCCAGTGACTTGGTAAAAGTTAGAAATCTCAAAAACAAAAACGAAACTGGATATTTTGGGAAGAAAAGTCTTAGTTTTAGACAATTTCATAAAGATCTCGCAAAAATAAAAGAGATTCCGTGAAACAACAAACAAAAGTGATCATCGTTGGAGTGTTGGTGAAAAAGTAGAACATTCAATTGTTCACCGTCAATTCATTAAAGGTGTTGGATTGTGGGTTTCACTTAGCACGTGGTAAAACGAAACTAAGATCATCAACACATATGTTGTGTAACCGTAAACCTCAGTGGTAAATGCTGAGAGTCTCAAGGGTCACGTTTATGAAACGAAATTGATGGAGAAAAGAGTTGAGGTGGTATAAGAAACGAAAGTACCTCTGCTATACGATAGTGACTAAGTAGATAACTCTTAACTCAATGTGAGAAGAGTAAGGTAGCTCATGACTTAAGTGAATTTAGCAGCCTAATTGGGAAGAAACGATTTGTATATATCGAATCGATAAGGCTTCACTTTAGAGTCGTTGAGGCTTTAGACAACATGCAACAGCATGCTTCTACGGACACTTAGCTAATACATAGATAAAGAATGTTATACCTGCCCTTTCACACGAAACTTTGCCTCCATGATCATCTGAAAATATTTTTAGGTTTCTGTAATATGTGAAAATAAAAGAAATAGATAACATAAAGAAAATATTTGTATTTTGAGATTTTCTAAATAAAACAAACGAAAAATATTTTTGTATTTTTGATTTTCGAAATAAGACAAATGAAAAGTATTTTTTTTATTTTATATTTCTAAAAAAATAATTAAAAACAGAAAGAAAAATCTTTTTGGATTTTCTGAAAATAAATAAAAACATAAAATATGCGAAACAAACTTTTTGAATACACAATATACAAAAGATACAGGAGTTCCAAACCACAAGTAAGAAGTGAAATCACTAACCAACCGTTCACTTATAAAGAATAAGTGAAGCGAATAGGAGCGAGTGTTCGTTCCATTTCGTGTCTCGAAAAAGACGGAACGAAATAGAGCGAACGTTCGCCTCATTTCGCTTGATAAAAACTTATGGAGCGAAGACGAAAGTGCTACTTATGGAAGCGAAGGTGGTTTCGGAACCGATTCAGCTTCCATCATTCCTAAGCCTTGTAGTATTCTATTAAAGGTTGCTTCAGGCAAGGATTTCGTGAATATGTTAGCTAATTGATCAGCAGATCGAACGAAATGAATCTCAACATTACCATCTTCCACATGATCCTTGATGAAGTGATATCTCAGTGCGATGTGATTCGTTTTTTAGTGTTGCACTGGGTTGTGACATATGCGAATTGCGCTTTCGGAGTCACAGTAAAGTGGGATTCGCTTCATGTTCAGGCCATAGTCTCTTAATTGACTTTGAATCCATATAACCTGTAAAGCACATGACGCTGCCGCGATGTACTCAGCTTCGGCTGTGGATAAGGATACGCATGTTTGTTTTTTAGACTGCCAACTGACGAGTTTGCCATCGAGAAATTGACATCCGCCAGTATTGCTTTTTCTATCCAATCCACATCCTCCAAGATCAATGTCTGAGAATGCTTGAACGAAGAACCCTGATTTCGTTAGATACCATATACCAAGAGATGATGTTCGCTTCAGGTATCTAAAGATGTTCTTGACTGCCACCATGTGAGGTTCGCGTCGATTTATTGAAATCTGGCACAATAACAAACAGAAAACATAATATCTGGTCTACTAGCTGTTAGATACATCAATGAGCCTATCATTTGATGATAGAGAGTCATATCAGCATCCGGTTTTTCCAGAGATGGAGTTAGCTTCGTTCCGAATGCCATTGGAACCTTCACTCTTGAGTCTCCCATCATTCCAAACTTGGTCAGTAAGGTTTTTGTGTAAGCTTCCTGATTTATGAAAATGCCTTCTAGCCCATGTCTTATATTTAGTCCAAGGAAAAAGTTAATTGGACCCATGGAACTCATCTCAAATTTAGTCTCCATCAACTTTCTGAATTCAACTGTTAAGCTAGGATTCGTAGAGCCGAAGATGATGTCATCGACATAAATTTGGACAATCATTAAGTGGTCACCCTCCTTCTTGCGAAAGAAGGTTGGTTTAACTGAACCTTGTTTAAATTTAGACATTTTAAGAAAGTGAGTTAGAGTTTCATACCATGCCCTTGACGCTTGCTTTAAACCATAAACTGCCTTGTCCAAAATATAGCAGTGATTGGGATACTTCTCGTTCACAAAACCTGGTGGTTGCTCAACATATACAGTTTCTTCTAATTCTCCATTTACGAATGCAC